CTGGAGGCTCGAAGATCCTCTAAAACCTCCTGGCCCGCCAGCAGACCCCGCCCCCAGTCATGCTCCAACATGACTTGTTGAATCCGCGGCCCCAGAGCCCCTGCAGGCGTCCCCCAAGGGTAGTGGTTAGCCAGAGAGGCCGAAACCGAGGAACAACGCGGGGGCCGCCAAGAGGGTGACGTCCAAGAGGGGGATCGCAAATCATAGTCCGAGCCATGTTCGCGGACGAGGCGGGGACCAAGGGACGCATTGAAAGAAGACGAGGGACCCAAGAGATCTGGGGAGATACCATGGCCCCCGGCATGAGGTTCCCCTCCTAGTCATCCCCCCTCTTGGACGCCGCCGAAGATTGTAAAAAACATGTCGTTGCTGGCCCAATCACCGCGCGCCGCGCCCCCGCGGGGCCACCCCGGCCCGGCCCTCGTGACCCTGGCCGGCGCAGGGCCCGACCGCCCCGGCCAGTGCAGGGCGTGCAGGCACAGAGGAGGGGAAGTTGCTTTCGCGCATCCTTCGGCAGCTCGTCACCGCCACGGAAGCCGACCAAGACAGCAGTGGCCAGAAGAAGCGTTTGCAATGGAGTATATTCATATGTGGTTCACGCATGACTCATCCCATCACATCATCTTCATCGCAACGCGTTTGGCACACTGCTGCCGTTGCATCTGGGACGCGTTTGGCGCACCACCCCTACTCGGGACGCGTTTGGCGCACTCCAACGTTTTGATTGCATTGCCTACGCGTCCACAGGATGCACGGCCCACTGACGGACTGACTGAATCGGCAGCTCGCGCTGCAACTCTCACATACAGTTGTGCCAGACCCAACCCTCCAGCTTAGAGTCAGAGATCTTACACGTGGCCTTGTCTCTATCAGGGGAGCGTAGTGACCGAAGACATGCCCGAAAAGCTGCCCGAGTGCGACCGAAACTGGTGCCCGAAGTTTTCCGACCCCACCCGAGTATGACCGAGAAGGTTTGACTCGAAGCCTATACAATGGTCAGTTTCGGTGACGATTCCGGCCACACTACGTTTTCGGTCACAACTTCGGGCACGCTTTCGGTCACCTGGTGTTTTCGGTCGCACACTTTTTTGGCTGATAAGGACCGGGCACCATGAGGAACAAAGAAAACAATACATTCATTAAACAACAAAACTGTCAGAACTCCGCGCGGTTTGCTCGGATCGGCGCTGGGACACCCTCCCTGGCGCGCGGAGCACCTGGGGCCCAGCACCGATCCAAGAAGTCCCCGCGGAGCTCCAGAAGCTTATTCGTCTTCTTCTTCTTCGAATGAGATTGGGGCATACCCTGACAACCCGTCCCATCCAAATCGATTCTCTTTCCCATTCTGGCCCTGGAGGGAGGAGGAGCAAATAACTCCCCGTGCAGACTATTATATACCTCGGTTGCGCTATCCACCGCTGTCGGGGATCTACTGACCAGGGTCGATCCAGACCCGGGCCAGTCTGGCCTTGCAGGATCTTGGATCCTGCAGGATCCTGCGTCCAAAAACGGGTCAGTGCGCCCCTGGCTCTGCAGGATCCTGCGCTCTGGCTTGATGGGCCGATTCTCCACCACTACGATAGGTAGGAGGGGAAGGAGAAGGAGGAGGAGGAGGAGGAGGAAGAGAAAGAGGAGGAGGAGGAGGAGGAGGAGGAGGAGGAGGAGGGGGAGAAGGAGGAGGAGGAGGAGGGGAAAAGGGAGGAGGAGGACCTCCCAACCCTCCCCTCCCCCGTCTTACAAATGGTAAAAAACGGTGGCAAATTGGACCAGCGTGGCTGACCCACGCCTGCACTGACCCCCGTCTGCATTGAGCACCGGCCTCCTCCTCCTCCTCCTCCTCCTCCTCCTCCTCCTCCTCCTCCCTCCTCCTCCTCCTCCTCCTCCTCCTCCTCCTCCTCATCCTCCTCCTCCTCCTCCTCCTCCTCCTCCTCCTCCTCCTCCTCCTCCTCCTCCTCCTCCTCCTCCTCCTCCTCCTCCCTCCTCCTCCTCCTCCCTCCTCCTCCTCCTCCTCCTCCTCCTCCTCCTCCTCCTCCTCCTCCTCCTCCTCCTCCTCCTCCTCCTCCTCCTCCTCCTCCCTCCTCCCTCCTCCTCCGCCTCCTCCTCCACCTCCTCCTCATCCGCCTCTTCCGCCTCCGCCTCCTCCTCCTCCTCCTCCGCCTCTTCCTCCTCCCTCCCTTCGCAGGCCCGGGGCAGGCCTCCACCGCCGCCGCGCCCGCCGCCGCGGCGGCCGGCTCCCTCGGCGTGGCCGGGGCGGCCTCGGCCTCTCGCGCCGCCGCGCGCCCCGCGAGACGCCGAACGGGCGAGCGAGGCGCGCGCCCCCCGAGGGCGGGCGCACCCGGGCGCTGTCGCGCGGCGGCGGCGGCGGCGGCGGCGGCGGCGGCGGCGGCGGCGGCGGCGGCGGCGGCGGCGGCGGCGACGACGACGACGACGACGACGACGACGACGACGACGACGACGACGACGACGACGACGACGACGACGACGACGACGATGGCGACGACGGCGTCGACGGCGACGACGGCGGCGGCGGCGGCCGAGGACGCGGCGATGAGGACGGACGGACGGACGACGACGGATGGCCGACGAGGACGGATGGCCGACAACGGCGGCGACGACGATGGACTGCCGACGGCTTTCGATGTCCGCTGCTGGGACCCTCGCTCGAGGAGTTCCACGGCGCTTTAGTGTCCGCTGATCTCGCGTTGGTGTCCATTGGCGTCGCCCTCACATCGGCTGCAAGCGCGCGTGCATTGCTGGTTGGTTGGTTGGTTGGTTGGCTGGCTGGTTGGTTGGTTGGCTGGCTGGCTGGCTGGTCGGCTACTGTGTTGGCAGGCTTGGACTTCGGCTGGCAGGTTGGCCCTGGGTCCGCCCTGAAATCCTGGCTAGAGCGCGCGCCAGAAGAGGTCTAGGGTCCCGCCTCTGTGCAGCGGAGGCGGATGTAGGAGAGATGATGAATGATGACTGAGGAGGAGGAGGAGGAGGAGGAGGAGGTTGAGGAGGAGAGGCCTGAGGAGGAGCAGGAGGAGAAGGAGAAAGGATCGCGACCACCAGAAATCGACGCCTCGGCTACGTATAACCGCAATACGAATCAGAGGGACCCCTGCAGGTCAGTTCTGGGAACCCAGACCCCCCTGGCGTGCCGCACCGCCACTGCATCGCCGATGCAGTGGCGACGTCGGCGATGCATCGGCGGAGGGAAAATCAGGCTCCATATCGAGCCGCATCGCCGATACGTCGGCAACGAGGCGCGATTCTCTGACCCAATCCACTCGGACCCCGTCTGGAAGACCTAGAATCTTGGTCATGGTCGTCGTCTGTCGTTGTCCCTCGCGCCTCCCGCTGCTCGTCCCGATGCACACCGTCCTCGGTGCCTGAGGCCACCTGCGCACCGCTCACTCACTCGCCACCTGCTCACCGCACTGGGCCCTGCCCGCTTCCTCCTCCGCGCCCGTTCCCGGCACGCCCTGCCTGAAGCGACAACCGCGCCCGAAACCGCTGGCGCTGCCGATTTAAAAATTGTGTTTCGCTCGGCTCACTGCGCCCCGCGTCTTCACTCCTCCCGCTGCCCTCCTCCCCCTCCTCCCTCCTCCCATGCGTGCCTCTGCCCTCCGTAGTCCTCATCACCATCAGCATCGTCAGCACCATCATCATCATCGTTATCATTCTTCTGGGGAAACCAAAAGGTCGCTGCTCCCCAGGCCTCTCCAAGGCTGCGTTCTGACCAGAATTCCGATGTAAATCCAGCGGTGGCGACGAGGGCCTCCCAGGCACGGGTCGGAGCTTGGGGGGGGAGATCGCAGTGGAACGGAGAGCCCCCCACCAGAGGATCGGTTTCGATTTCGTGTTCGTGCCGTGCGTGCGGGCGAGGCGAAGCTGCGTGGGCGCGCGAGAGGAATGATGCCGCCGTGACCAAGGGCTGTGGAGCCAAATGCCCGCCCCTCTCCCCCCACCACCCCCCCCGGCACGCGGTGTCCCGTCGGTGGCGCGTCGGTGTCCCGTCGGTGGCGCAGGGTGTCCCGACGATGGCTGCGGGTGTCCCACCGTGGTGTCTCGATCGTAGCTCGTCGATTGCGTGATCGATCGTGGTCGTGAGATCGATCCTGGGTTGTCGCGGGGTGGCCCGTCGGTGGCGCGGGTTATCCCGACGGTGGCTCCGGGTGTCCCGCCGTGGTGTCTCGATGGTAGCTCGTGAGATCAGCTGTGAGATCGATATTGAGATTGATAGTGAGATCGATTGCGTGATCGGGAGATCGATTTGAGTTCGAGAGATCGATAGTGAGATTGATAGTGAGATCGATCACGACAGATCTTGAACTTAAAGTACCCCGCTGTGGCTGGGAATGCCCCATCGTGGTGTCCCGATGGTGTCTCGTGAGATCTCTTGCGAGTCCGATAGTGAGATCTCTTATGAGATCGATAGCGAGATCGATAGTATGATCGATAGTGCAATCGATATCGAGAGCGATAGTGAGATCGATGATGAGAACGACTGTGAAATTCGTGAGATCGATGGCGCCATCTCATCGCCATCACAGTCATGGCAGTTGCTGTCAGTGGTTTTCCTTCCCCCCTAACCTCCTCATCACCCGAAGGGTGGTCGTGTAGGTAGTGGCTTATGGGTACCCCTGGGGATACCAAAAGGTACCGATACCGCTACTTCCCGGACCTCCCCCTGGGCGCGTTCTGACCAGAATTTCGCGGCGAATCCAGCGGTGGCGACGAGGGCCTCCCAGGAGGCCCAAAAAGGAAGAAAGCGGGAGAAGAGTAACGGTATGGGTGCCTTATCCCCCTCTGAGCTTATGGGTACCCCTTCCTCCTCTGACCTTTTCCACATCGGCTCACTGCCCCACCGTCGCCGGCGCCTTGTCCTGACTGGGGTCTTGGATGTGTATCCAGAAGACTCCAGCCAGGCAGCGCCCATTGCACACCCCTTGCTGGCACAAGGGCGCCGGCCACTCCGTAGCGAGGGTGAGGACGACGCAATGATTTTCCCCGTCGGCTCACTGCCCCACCGTCGCGGCGCGTCCAGGGCCCAGGCCCTGGGGGCCTCCCCTCGCCGCCCCCGCCGGCGCCAGGCACCCCACGGTGTGGCGGCCCGCGGGGCCGTCCACGGCCAGGCCAGCGGACCGGAGCCGCTCCAGCAGCGCGTCGTAGCGGCCCAGCGGCACCGTGTCGCTGTCGTGCCGCGTCCTCGGAGGCATCCCATGGGGGGGGGTCCGAGCAGGTGGTGATGGGCCTGTTTTCCACCACCACCCTGTTTTCCACCACCACCACCGCCTCCTCCTCCTCCTCCTCCTCCTCCTCCTCCTCCTCCTCCTCCTCCTCCTCCTCCTCCTCCCCTCCCCCTCCGAATTATGGTGGTGGTGGTGGTGGTGGAAAACAGGCCCAGCAGGTGGGGTCGGAGGGTCGCGCCGCACCGCCAATGCGTCGCCGCCTTGTCGGCAATGCATCGGCGAGACGTCGGCGATGCCTCGGCGCCGTCGGCGTGGAGAAGAACGGGGTCCACATCGAGCCGCACCGCGGATGCATCGGCGATGCGGCGCGATCCTCCGACCCCGTCTGCTCGGATCCCATCATCTGTGAGGCCTGGAGTCCTGCGGAGCTCGTCCCACAGCTCCCGCTCCGACAGCGGGCGCGGCCCGCTGTCGCTGCTCGGGTGCTGCTGGAAGTGGCCATGGCCCAAACCTCAGGCCTGGCAACTTCTCCTTTCCAGGCGCTTTCGCCCAGTTCCGGGCCCCCGGAACCTCACGGATCGGCCCGGCTCGGAAAGATGCAGCAGAAAGATGGGGTCCAAGGTTCTGGTCACTCTTTGTTCTAGATTTTGTTTTGTTGTTCGCAACGTCGGATCTCAGGCGAGTGGCCCTGGCCCGAAGCGACCCCAGCTTCCCCAGGAAATGGCGCAGATGGCTTCCAGAGGACCCCCTCACGAGCCCAGACATCCTCCGATCTGATGTCTTCAAGCCGCAGCCCCAGGGAGGTCCCGATCCCTTCCCCAGGGGCAGCGTTGCGTCCTGGGCTCGTTTTTGAAGGGCCCTGGGCCCGAGAACAGGCCGCGGCGGAGGCCGAAATCAAGGAAAAACGCTGTACCGAAGAAGCAATATCCTCAGAGCTCTGGGGAGCATCGTGGGAGAGGACTCGCACCTGGTTCTTCTAAGGCTGAAGTCAGTGCCCGATGTTTGTTATAAAAATTGCCGATGTGGTTTGACATTGGCTGTCGTGTGCCTCGCCGCACGAAGACTACCCGAAACCGAAGCACGTGTACCTGTTGTTTGTCGAAGCAGTGTTTTCAAAAAGAACAACAGCAACAACAACAACAACAACAACAACAACAACAACAACAACAACAACAGCCACAACAACAACAACAACAACAACAACAACAACAACAACAACAACAGCAGCAGCAACAACAACAACAACAACAACAACAACAACAACAACAACAACAACAATTACTAGCACGTGGGGACACTCCGTTCTCACCAGTGCCAGGGTTTTCATAGGAGGCGGGCAATACCCCCACTTTGTGGGGGGGCCGGTTCAAGCTCTACCAAATTTCCAAACGACTCTTCGCCACCACCCACACCCAGCTTCCCGCCCTATGACGTTCGGACACTTCACTTCGTGGCATGCGGACGACCGTGGCTACTATTCAGGGCCCCGCGGCCGACGACGACGGCGTGCGCGCGCGAAGAAAAAACGAATGTGTCCCGCATGGTATTATTTGACAGGGATGATGGCCCTGGCAGGTGCGCAACCGTTGTTGCAGAAGTTCGAAAAAGTTGCTCGCAAAAGCCCGTTTGACAGAAATGTTTAAAAAGTGTTGGGTTTCCTACGAATCCGCAAGAGCGCGCGGGATGAATTTTGACAATTTTTGTTGAAAAACCATTGGTTTTTTGATGTTTTTATGTTAAAATCGCTACGAAAACTAAGGTTTTGGAAGGATTTCGTCTTGCGCGCGCGAATGTCCACTTTACCTTATTTTTTGCAAGGGATTCTTGAAGTTTGGTTATGTTAGAACAAGAAATGTCCACTTTAGCTTATTTTTTGCAAGGGAAAACCGATCGTAACAACACAACCGGATCCGGACCAACCCGTTTTGCCTGAGACTTCCTCACGAAAATGATGAAAATGAGGCTGCGGCCTAGGCGCGGCGGGGGGGTCGTGCACCAGGGGCCCCAACAATAATTATTCTTTAGAAGTAATAATGTTCAACAACAACAACAACAACAACAACAACAACAACAACAACACAACAACAACAGCAGCAGCAGCAGCAGCACAACAAGCAGCACAACAACAACAACAACAACAACAACAACAACAACAACAACAACACCACAACCACAACCACAACCACAACCACAACCACAACCACAACCACAAAAACATCAACATCAACATCAACAACAACAACAAACGGGACGTCGAAGAGGATCTTGGAGAATTGAGCAGCGACATAGCCGAGCGGCGAACATACCCGTATCCACGCCCTCGAAATCTCGATTCCGGTGACCGGTCCCGCGGATACGCTGTCGCACGGACACGCTCTGCGCGGGGCATCCGCTAAAGAACGCCCCGCATCCGCGGGGTCGCGGCCCAGGGGCGCCCGCCAGGCCGCGGATGCGAATCTGCTCCTCGCCCACGGGCAACGACAGGGCCACGGCCAGCAGCACCCGAAGCTGCCGTGCACGAGGGCGGGACCCGCCGCTGGCGCGCCTGCCGCCGGCGCGGCCGCCGCCTGCCAGCCCGGGCCCGCGCCGTCGGCCTGCCGCAGCGACCTCGCCGCCGCCAGGGCGGCCCCGGACGCAGAGCCGCGGCCGGCCGGCTCGGGCAGCGAGGCCAGAGACGTCTGGGCCACCTCCCGGGGGAGCGGAACCAGAATGTGAACTGCAAGAGCAGAAGGCCCGACACAAACAGATAGACTTGTGGCGCTCCGCGCGGACGGCTCGGATCTGCGCCGAACCCCCCTTCACCGGCGCGCGGAGCGCGCCAGAAATGGCGCCGGAGGCGCCGCCCAGCGCGGATCTCAGAAATCCGCGCGAGGCGCCAAAAAACTTAGTTTGTGGCGTTCTTGAGCCTTCGGCCTCGGGGAGCGGAGCCAACACGTCAACCACTCTCTCGGTCGGGCTTCGGAGGAGCACGAAGGAGCAGCACGAGGAGGGGCTGCCAAGGGCCACCTGCCTACTGGCGGGCTGCCAGACACGACGAGAGGCATCTGGACCACCTCTCGGGGAGCAAACATGGATGCCAATCTCGGCGGCGAGCCCAGGGAAGAATGCAGGGGGGGGCTGGCCTTCTGAGGCTCGGAAGGCCTCTGGCCTTCCGAGAAGTTTTCCGGGCCTCTCCGAAAACTGAACCGGTTCCTGGGAAGGCCGGAGGGTTTCTGAGAAGCACCGCCGCCTTATGAGAAGGCCTGCCCCCTCTCACTCCCCCTCAAGCGCGCCGCCGATAATCACATGCCGGCATGGGGGAAACTCATCAGCGTGTCACTGTACCAATTACTTGCTTGATCGGCGGCGTCTCGAATCCGAGCTGCGGGCAGGCTGCGCTGGGACACAGGCGGAGCCAACTGCGGCATACGGGGGAAGTGATGGGCCTGTTTTCCACCACCACCACCACCACCATAAGTTGGAGGGGGAGGGGGTCATCCTCCTCCTCCTCCTCCTCCTCCTCCTCCTCCTCCTCCTCCTCCTCCTCCTCCTCATTCCCCCTCCAACTTATGGTGGTGGTGGTGGTGGAAAACAAGCCCATCAGAAGGGGGAGGCAGGAGGAAAGGGAGGAGACGACCACAGTATCAGTCGCACGCCGCCGTCGGGATTCCCTCGGCACGCTGCTGCGGAAAGAAAAAAACCGGGCGTCGGGCAAAAGCACAAAGCAAGACGCCGACGGGCCGCGGTCGGCACGGGCCACCTCCTGGGGGTCCCGAACCGTGCGGCGACAGACGGGTCCCGAACCGTGCGGCGACAGACCGCGCGGTGATCTTGGACTCCTAAACGGCAAGAATCGAAGTGTCGGGGGGTTCTCGAGCACTCCGGTGGAGCTTTGCCGAGGGGCACGGGGGGTTTGGCGGTAAGTGCGGGAGGGGGAGGGGGGGGGCGAGGAATCGGGTCTCGGGGGCACCTGGGCCCTTCGGCACCGCACGGTCCGTCGCCGCACGGTCTTGGGGCCCCGGAGGCAGTCGCCCGAGAGGTTATCGGAGAACGACCCGAGTCTCGAAACCGTGCGTTGGCCCCGAATATCCCCACGAGGAGCAAGAAAACCATATCACAATCACACGCCGCCGTGGGGAGCCCAGCAGCGAGTTACTGTTGAAGGGGCACCCGGCTTCGGACAAACGCGATGAAGCGACACGCGGACGGGCTACCAACGGTAGGGTGTAGTTGATGCCCTGTCTCCCTCCCGAACCTCCCGCAGGACGTGGCCGACGGCGTCCGGGCCGGACTGCCCGGTGGCGAGCGAGCCCCAGCCCTCCGAGAGGGTCGCGTCGTCTGTATCGACGACCCACAGAATGCGCGTTCACGCCAGCGTGTGCGTGTTCACCGAAGCCCATCGATACGACATAAGCGGTGTAAGATAACGGCCAGCACAAGCTGAGGTTGCCCGGTGGGGCTGACCGGGGTAAACACGGATTGGGCTACAGTCGGACTTAGAGGCCAGAAGAAACCTCGTCAAGAACATGAGGCCCTCCGCTGGCCAAGACGCACACAACATCTAAGGGCACCCTCCCAAAGGTGCAGAAGAACCGCCAACAAACACGAAGAACACTAGGGCACCCTCCCCGAACCGACCTCGAGCTCGCGCGTGGCCGGGCCACTCCTCATCCCCCTCCTCCTCCTCCTCCTCCTCCTCCGCCTCCGCCTCCGCCTCCGCCTCCTCCTCCTCCTCCTCCTCC